GGGTTGATTTGGTTTTCATTAGGAAAATATGAAAATAGTTATTTAGATTTTAAAAGCAGACAGAATAATGTAGACACATTTGTTTCTTATGTGTCTCTGATGTTATCAGATCTGATAAAATATTTATTTCAATTGCTTGTGTTTTAATAGATGACCTTGCAAGCCGTAGGACTGGTATTTCTGGATTCTCATCCTTTACATACCTGGGTAAAGTGCCTGTGGCCAATGGGCACAACTGGAATTTTTGGTTGTATCCAATCCAACACTTATGCCATAGCATGAGTTTTGGTCACATTAGCTGGAGTATAGTTGATTACTCATCTTTCCCCTGGACTTCTGGATCCATGCAAGTTGGTGGCTTTCTTTTTTAACCTACTAAGCACTCCCTGAGTGTCCAGTTTGGCACTGCACTGATTAAGAGATTCCCTTTTGGAGGAATGAGAGAATAATGACAATTATTTATAATGCCTAATCCTTTCATCTACAGTTGCCGTGAATTTTGATAATAGTCTTAAAATGCTTTGCACTAAAGTTCTTTGTCAAAGCAGGTCAGCGAGGGGCTGTGTATATTTGTTCATGTATTCACCTGTGCGCACGTGCCCTCACACTTGTGGGTCGGGGGAGAAGAGAGAGAAGGAGAAAGGGAAAGAGAGAGGTAATCTGTCCTAACACTCTGAAATAAGGGATGTTCAGACTCTTTGGGTATCATAATACAAGAGGCATATTTCTTATTGCTGATGAATTTCAATTGTAATTACAGAGCACTGGTAAACCACATTAAGTCCCAAGGGCTGGATCAAAAATATACACCATCCACAGAAGCCATTTGAATTATTTCTGAAAAACCTAATTGTTAAGTATGTAATTAATTTGTGAACAGATATAAACTGTTGCTGGTTGTCCATTAAATTTAGCTGTTTCTCCACAATGCTAAGGGCCAAGTTCTAAAAAGTGAAATGAATGCCCTGTGGCTAGATCCAATGTGCCACTCACTTGCATGTTTCTGTTCTGTTGTAAAAGCGAACGACAACAGTTAAACTTTAAAGATAAACAGTTTTTAGATTTGGGTTCCTAGAGAATAATGGTGTTTTTGTACAATTCTTGAAATAGAGCCTACAGCCACCAGAAACAATATAGTCTCTTTCAAGATCTTGGAAATAATGACATCATAGGCAGATTGAACCAGCAACCCATTAATAGTATCCTTTGTAGAGACCTGTCTCAGGGGAGGACCTAGCTTAGTAGATTGGCATTGTTTATAAACATAACATAATAGAATCCCCTTTTCTCTAGATTTGTCAAATAGTAGGAGATCCCTTCCACTTGGGAAATAAATACATTAACAGAAAGGCTTCCTTGCAGGTCCCTACCCTTTCTCCATTGGTCTTCTAAAACTGTGCTTTGAAAGTGAGTTAAAGATAGCAAGAACCTCCTGCACTACTCTTTTGTCACCAAATCAGAATTATCTGGAATCGTTAGCAGATGATGACTGCTTGTGCCTCGTAAAGAGTAGTGAAGAGCTGAAGTAGTATCAGAATAATTTGAGCAAAACCATATCTGAAATGTCTAGGGAAACAGATTATTTGGTTCATGCTTTACTAAGTTCCTGGTGTGGAACTGGACATAGGTTCTTCAATTTCATTTCTGTCTCCATAAAAGGTTTCTTCTAACTCTTCTTATGATGCTTTGATGAGTTAAACTGAAACACTTCCAGTTTGATGGACAGTGGAAAGGTATTCCATATAGCTGGGTCCTCTAAAGAGTGCCTGTGATACTGACCAAAGTAAGTGTATGTTGTTGAAATTTTGATCTGGGATTTTTAGTGCCATATAGAAAGAGTATAGTTTGAGTTTTGGATCCCAAGTATCTCTTTCTTCCCAAGCTAAACTATACCTGGTCAAATAAGGTGAGGATAATCAGGGAGCTTGAAAAGAAGCGGAGAATCTACCTGCTTCTCTGGTCAGAGGGAGTAATTAGAATAAAAAAAGGCAACTCTGTTGTTAGCCACACCTGTTTATCAAGAACAAAGGAGCATAGTATTTTAAATTCTGTAGTTGCACTAGAACCATGACTGGCCCAGACTCTTATTTGCCTTATTATGCCAAATCAGCTTTGGATATCATTTTAAAGAGGTCATGGGGCATGTTTCTCTGTCATCTGAAGTAATATATCATCAGAAAATATATATTAGACAGAAAATGGTGGCTCTCTTTCCTTATGAGACACATTGTTCAGAAATCTGTCTTCTAGGTATTTCGATTTAAATGTTCAGGTCCTTTGTGGTAACTTTGAAATTTCATTATTTTTACCAAGCTAGATTTTGTATATCTGAGATTTATGGAATAATGACTTCATATTTGGGCATTATTTCTTTTTTTAAAAAAAAGAATATTTTATTTATTTATTTTTTATTTCAGCATATTATGGGGGTACACGGGGGTCCAAATGTTTAGGTTACATATATTGCCCTTGGCCCTCCCCCCCATCAGAGCTTCAAGTATGTCCATCCCCCAGATGGTGCACACTGCACTCATTATGTATGTATATAGCCATCCCCTCCTCCCCCCTCCCATCTGCCCGACGCCCAATAAATGTTATTCCTATATGTGCACTTAGGTGTTGGTCAGTTAAAACCAATTTGATAGTGAGTACATGTAGTGCTCGTTTTTCCATTCCTGGGTTACTTCACTTAGTAGAATGTGTTCCACCTCTATCCAGGAAAATACAAGAGGCACTGTATCACCATTGTTTCTTGTGGCTGAGTAGAACTCCATCGTATGCATATACCACATTTTATTAATCCACTCATGTATTGATGGGCACTTGGGTTGTTTCCACATCTTTGCATTATTTCTGAACCCAGAAAAGTATAAAACAAACAGACAAAGAAAAAATTAGCACCTTGTTTCTGGTGGCAAATTCTTCTCAGTGACTAAATGAAAACCATGAACCTGTCCAGTACAAGTAACGCCACTGGTGAAGTCAGTCCTAAACTCACTTTAATTCTAGAGAAACGGTGAATTTAGAAGGACCAAATATCAAAATGCAAAAGAGAATGTAGACACATTAGCACTGGTTAAATTTAAACTCTGAATTTAAGTTCTAGTTAAAATATTTACTAGTACAAGTAGTATCTATAGTATACTTTATCCTTGACATCATAGTTACTTTTTTAAAATCATTTTTTATAGAGACAAGGTCTTGCTATGTTGCCCAGGCTGGTCTCCAACTCCTGGCCTCAAGTGATCCTCCTACCTCGGCCTCCCAAAGTTCTGGGATTACAGGCGTGATCCACGCCCTCCGCGTGAGGGCCAGGGCCACCGTACCTGGCCCTCAGTTACTTTTTTATTGTGCCTTGTACTATAGTTTCACCTATGTAGGAAAATGTGAGGCTCGTAAAATTGTCAGTGGTAGTGACAAAACATTTATTACTGAGTATTTTCATTGTTGTGATTACTGAAAAAATACAGAATTGGTCTTAATTCATTAAGATAATGCAAGGCATGACAATTAGGCAAAAGAAAAGAGATCTATCAAAATCAAGATCAAGCTAAACATTGCTAATTGGCAGTCATCTGTTCAGATGAAGAAGCTATTAATTGATACTAACCTATTCGTGAATAATTATAGACTGTATATATTTGAGAGAATTTAAAACATAGTAAATTTTTAAAAATTCTCCACATAACACAATGTAGCTTAGAGTGCATTACTGAAAATAATAAACACATTGTAACCAACAAAGAGCTAAAAAGAATTATGATGGATTATTTCTCATTACAACAGTTAATGAGTAGACCCCTGCTTTTGTTATTGTTGTTCTTAGGTTTGTTTATAATACATATTGCTGATACAAAGTGATATGCTAAGTCATATTTCGAGAGTTCTTATGCTGTTAAATTAGTGCCAAGTAATACTTGAGAAATTTACAGGGATTTTCTTGTAAGGAGATTTGATTTTCCTTGAATTCAAACTGGGGATTCACTTGGAAGGTACTCTTAGCACCTCACTTGCGCTGCTAAGTGTCAGGGCCTTGTGGAAGGACATGAATTACAGTAAGAAAACACCTGGAGACAGAAACATTTCCTTGGGGAGTTCATACTTTTCCAGTTCACTTTATTCTTACAGGGGAATGAAACCCAAATATACTCAGACCTAGACACAAGATACTAAAGAACAATGAAATTAAGAGAAAATGAGTTCCTAAAATGCAGACTGGATCTTATAACCGTGTTACCTCTGTCAACTCGCTTGTTGTTCTGTGTTCCAGGATGTAAAATATGACAGGGAGTAAGGTTATGGTGTCTCATCAGAAAGTGGCCTTCTCCTCTAGAGCTCTTCTTTGCTCATGGTGACATTTGGCCCACCTTTGTCTTCTACCTGCTTGGGAGACTATTCGGCATTGTTTGCCCTAACAGCACACCCCAACTCTACGAAAACTGCCAGATCTATGGGATGGTTTCTCAGTTAATTACCATAAAACAGGAGTGCATTTTGTAAATCAGGTACACACAAGTAAGAATCAGGCATCAAGGACGTCTCAATGTTAAAGCAGCTAACAAATCATTATTATGGGCCGTTAAAATCAACAGCCAAACCTGTGTAAATTCCAGACTCTGAGGAGATTGAACACCTTACCATTACAATCATCAGGACAGAATATTTAAAGAAGATTGTAAATTGCTCATTAAAGACTGAGAGTGGATTGCAAAAAATTGAGTTTCATCGTGGGAAAAACAAGGAGCCTTGTGTGTTTTTGTATACATACTGAAAAGCCATTAATTATTGCCTTCACTTTCCTCTTTTGAAAATTGCATCAGGGTCTTTGGGGAGGCAACGTTTTTCCCTCCAGAAGAGAAACCCCCCAAAATGATCCACACAAGACCTGAGAAAGTGTGAGACCAATGCTTTTGTTTCTAAGATGTTAGACTCCCCATATTTACTAGATTTTTTTTAGACCTCTCCTTCCTTAACTCCTGTTTTCTCCTCCTTTTTTTTAGGAGCTGTGAAATCGCTTGTAACTGAAAATGTCTGACGGTCTGGATAATGAAGAGAAACCCCCAGCTCCCCCACTAAGGATGAATAGTAACAACCGGGATTCTTCAGCACTCAACCACAGCTCCAAACCACTTCCCATGGCCCCTGAAGAGAAGAATAAGAAAGCCAGGCTTCGCTCTATCTTCCCAGGAGGAGGGGATAAAAGTAAAGTATCAGTGGCTGGGCATTGAAAAGGGGCTAGTTTATTCTTTCATTGTCACTTTCTTTCTTGGGTAGTTGTTTCTTGAGCATTGGCTGTTCAGGGCCTGCCTGCCCTTTTACATCCACATCTTCGGAGGTTGCATTTTATCAGAGGATAATGTTTGATTGACTTACTGTGGGCTGACAGAAAATACACTTATGCTGTGTTTGCCTTTCACATAAAATTGAATGCATAGTGTTAAGCCAAGGAAAATCAGAAACAGTACTGTCTTGAATATATAAACAGTGACTTTCTTTCTGATAACTGAGAGTAGAATTTACAATAATCCCTTCCTAAATTTAAGTTGTTCTTCTTGGAAATTCGAGTATAGGTTGATTTATTTCTGTATACCTTTTCGGTAAGTGTGAAGATTTTGAATTGAGTATACAGGAGTCAGTCCAAGTTGCCACAATATTATCTCTCTGACTATATCACAAGGTGGGAAGAAACTTCTGAGTCATTTGTTTCCACTCTCATTCTTCTACCAGTTGTCCCCTACACAATCAGCCCATGCATCACAATATATTATCATTTATCCTTCTGGTGTTCATAATACCATTTGGTGCTTAAATATCATATGCTAGCACTTTGTGACACTCAGGGATATGAAATCTCTAGTAAATAATTGTCAGGTCGCATTAATTAGCATAAAGCTGAAACATGGCTTCTATAGATGTGACTATTGAGGCAGATGAGAGTGAAGCAAGTACAAGGGCACTGGCACCATAGAGAGTTGTCAGAAGGTCAAGAAGGGTGATGTCTTTGGAAGACAAAAGGAACATTCTCAATCTTCTTCAAGATAGAACAAATATTGTAGGTTGCCTATACGGTGTTAATGAATCTGCAATTCATACGACAAGGAAAGCTGAAACTCTTACCAGGGCCAGAATTGCCTCTTGCACACCAACATCACTTAAAAGACGCTTTGTTCTTCATGACCCAAGGATGGAAAAGATGAAAATCTCTTAAACCTCTGGATTGAGGATAAGCAAAAAACGAACCACATTCCATGCAAGGGATCTGTGACCATGCAAGAGAAATTTTCAAAGACATGTTTTTAGACACTGAACCGGATTCAGAAAAAAAATTGCTGAGAGCAAGGGATAATTCGAGAAATGTAAGGTGCACCATAAGCAGGAGACCATGTTTTATGTGATGGTGGTGCCAAAGAACAAACTACTAGATCTTGCAGCTCCTATATTGTATCCGCCACAACTGCAGAAAGTGGTTGAAGAAGGGGATTATGTGTATGCACAGAGCTTTGGTGCTATTGAGACCATCATGCTTTGGAAACCCTTGAATAATCCTACCTGTCATTCTGGAGAGCAAGAGCCAGCTGATACTGAGGTCAGCAAAATCAGAGACGCTGACATTTCTGTTTTGTGCCAGTACTTCAGGTGACTTCATAGTGAAACCATTACTGCTCTGCAGAAAAGTGTGCCTATATCTTCTCAGGGGAAAAAACTGAGCCAAGTTTCCAGTATACTGACAAGCAAACAGAAAAGCCTGGATGAGTCTTCCTCTCCTTAAGGAGTGGTTTCAACAGTTCTTTCTTATGGAAGTTCCAGACTTAAACAATCCATTTGGTATCTCAGGTACATTTTCCCATGTGCATGATAATGTTGAGGTTGTTTTTATAACTTAGCCTCATGTCTCAGATCCTTGATCCCTTAGATCATTGTTTGATCTGGTCATTCAAGAAGACTTACACTAAACTCATATATAACTTTGTTCAAAATCTTGCAGTTTCCTCTATCTGAAGATCCTAGTGCATAAGATTCCTACACCGTTACTAAAGCTACATTCTTGATAAAAGAGGCATTAGATAGTTTAACAAAGCTCGTCATTAGTGTCACCTGGGAGAAGAACTGGCAAGAGATAGTGAAATATCTTTCAGTGATCACTCTGAAAGATGAAGAATCTTTGGATCAAGAAGAACCTATGGATGAGGATGAACATTTGGTGCAAGAATAATTATCTCCTGGAGGTGAATCTGAGCCTGTTGACACTAATTGGAATAATATGCTCCTAGAGGATGATCCTCAGGAAGCTTGCAGTAACCCAGGGGTGATTATCGTAAGTGATGATGAAGACAGTTAGGCTATGGGACTGGAGACAAATACAGTTAGAAGCAACAGGAGCAAAGTTTTTAGAACAAGATTAAAACCTCCCCAAGAAAGTAATGAAAATTGGCATCTTTACATGTCAAATCTTACCTGTTCAAAGCTTGAGTGATTTAGCAGCATTGTATAAAGAGGTGCTATGATGTCTTCAAACCCAACCACATTGGGCAGAAACCATCAACAGAACTTAAATCATCAAGTGCCATTTAACAGCATTGCTTGGCAGCTGATAAAACTACCTTCAGACAAAGGTTGAATGATTTAATTGGATTCTATAAAGAGGTCCTTCCTAAAAAAAAACCACACACATTGGGAAGAAAGCAACCTCAGAAAAGCCTAAATCATCAAGTAGTGCGTTTAAATACCCTTACTGGACATCTGATAAGCTGCCTTTAGACATAAGTTGAATGATTAAATTGAACTCCATACAGAAGTGCTAAGGTGTCTTTAAAAAAGACTTAAGAAGACAGAAGCATCTTCAGAACAGCCAAAGTCATTAAGTAGTGCCACTTAAATTCACTTACTTGATAGAGCTAAAGCCATAAGCAAGTTGGTACAACTTCAGGATTGGACTTCAGTGACTGTAAGAGCATAGACATCCATGATTCAAACTAACAGCCCACCTCTGTTCATTGCCTCTCTGTCACCCCCATTATCCACTACCATAATGAGTGACAGATACATCCTCATCACCTCTGGAAATCATCTCAGAATCTAAATGGAAGTTTAAAGCCTATCATTTTTACTAATTTAAATTACATAAATGCTCATTATTCTTTTTATGTAATGTACTGTTATTTTATTTATTATGCATAAAAATATTTATGAGGGCTCTCAAAAGTTTACTTGTGACCTCATTTCTCCTGCCCATTTTTTTTCTCCTAAAATTGTGATCTCCTCAGCTGAACTCTCCTACCTTGGGGGTTGTTCAGATACCTGACCCTCATGGGTAAGGAGGGATTACTGATTCTATGTTCCTACCTCTCAGTGACTGCTTGACTTACACCATAATCAGTCTTGAACTAATGGAAAGGCACTGAACTTGGGTTCTGGAGCTCTGGGTTCATGTCTAGCTCTGTCACTGATTATCGTGATTTTTGGGCCAGTCACTTAGCTTCACTGAGCCTCAATTTCATCACCTGTTAAATGAGGGTAGTAATACCTGACCTACCTCACAAGATATCTGTGATAATCAAATGCAATTCTAAGTACCAGAATGTTAAATAATTGTGAGATATCATTGTATTTGTAGCATTTTGGACCTTATATTGACAAACAGCTAAAACACTAGATTTTTGACTTCTTATTTCTTTTTTGAAAATAACTTCCTTCTTAACTAGACTTTATATGTCAATTATAGAAAATTGAAAAAGAAAATTTAAATTGCTCATAATTTCATAAGCCTAAGGTAACTGACTTGGTAATTTTCCTTTTAGTCCCTCTTCTCATTATATAGAAATTGTTCATCAATGTGGAAAACTTAGAAAATAAAGATAAGCATACAGAAAAAAATCATCCACAATCACAAATCCCAGAAAAAATGTTAACATTTTGGTGGATTTTTTTCAGACTTTTTCTGTGGCTATATATGCACATATATAATTTGTGCATAGTTAAGGTCATAATATATGCAGTTTTGTATCTTGGTTTTTTACTTAATATTTTATCATGAATATTATACATTTTCAAAAAGTCTTCATAAATATGATTTTTGATGGTGTGTAATATTTCATCATAGGGTGGCATCATGGTTTATTTAACCATTTCCTTTTGTTGGATATTTGTGGTCCTTTCCAAATTTTGTCATTATAAATAATGTCGCAATGTCTATTTCATTACTTAAATGGAACTATTTGCTTTGGTGAATAGCAGAGGGGTTTTTCTGTTGTTTGTTTGTTTCTTTGTTTTTTAAGAAATCCTTTTAATAGCTACATTTCTTTGATCAAATGAAACTTCAAGGGACAGGTAGAAGAAAAATAAGAAGTAATAGATGTGATTTCAAGATCTATGTTGGAGACTCTTCCAGGAGTTGAATCTTTGGTGTTAGAGCAAGATAGGAGGGAGAGTTTGACACAATTTTATGATACTTCACTATATAAAATTTTCAAGATTTAGACCAGGAAAAGGGCATCCTGAACAAGTGGTTTGATTTTATTTTATGGACCCTGTGAAGTGTGGGACTGATCAGGTTTCTCTTTTGTTGGCTACTAGAAAGATTGGAGCCAAATGTGTGGTCCATGCATAGCACTTGTAATGGGACTCTATGGTATGTATGCACTTTGTATTAGCTTTCTTCCAGGCTCCATTTTATGTTTTTCTCTTTGTTTTTTGTTTTTGCTTTTTCCTTTTACTTTCTTATCTACTTTCAATTTATGCTATCATGTTGTATTTTGTGCATTCTTGTAAGCCGCCTGATATCCATTTTGGAACAAGGTGGGGAATAAATACATGAATGAATAAATAAATACATGAATAAATAATTGAATAAATAAACCAATAAGGAAAAGGCAATGAGGCAAATGTATGCAGCCAGGACTCTGAAATTGGCATAATGCCTCCAAAAATAATCAATGTTAAGGACTTGAAGCTTGGAAGAACATATGGGAAAGAAGCAGGTGAGGCTGCATTTGGAGGTGACATGTTCTATGTGACGTCTGTGTCTTCTGAAGCGTGCTTATGTGTCTGTGTCTTGTGTTGCACTTGAGCATTAGGTGTGCTTTAGAGGACATGCAATGCTGTGTGAAGGGTTGTGTCTTCAGAGGGCACAGTTCATGTGCATTTTGTTTGTGGGGAATCCAGAGAGATTTGGGAGCTGGTAAGCCTGGGAATGATGTGATGGT